ACTCTATTATATATTGGTGGGTCCATAACCTTTATTCTCAAAACAAATAATTAAAACAAAAGTCAAGATCCAAAGACAAGATATATCTAACTATTTAAATAACGAGCAACATTTTCCTCTCATTAGGTGCATTTCTCCTCATTTGAATAAGAGATCTTTAAGAGATCTTCTTTGTCCAACCCAGCCAAAGGAAAAACCAAAATGACTAGTACATTTCAAAATTTAGAAATTAACTTTCATTTTTCTTTAAGTTTTTCATACTTCCTAGTTTTTAAAAATGCTAAAATGCTCATGTTATAGTTCAAATTTATAATAACCAATATGCAGGAAACATCTGAAAGGACTAATGGTAAATTACTATAAATGTTCCTAATGCATTAGGCCAGAGAGGGAGAGATTATCATCAAAATTTACCAGATTATTTTTTATAATGAGGCCACAGTTACTTGGTTTGAATTATTGTAATGTCCAGTAACTGATTTGGATATTTTTTTCCTTTGGGAAGGAGACTATTTGTCAAAAGAGCATTATGTTTGCCGTTCAGATTTGGCTGATGATTTATTAAGATTCACAGCCTTTGGTTTGCTCTGGTTTTTGACATGTTTTCTGGGATCTGGGCCATACCTGAAAGGTCACCTTTACTTCCAGATCCTGCATTGCTGTAGGAACTCCGTTACTTAGAATTTCATTGAGCCACGGCATTTCTGTTAATCCAGGCCATGCTGCCCCATATCCTTGTTTCAGGCATTATTCCAAGAAAACTAGCTAGGATGTCACCAACCTGAGCCGTTGCATGTCATCTGCCTTTTCCCCTGGGGCCCTCTCAGGTGACACCCAAGGCACTGTCACTGTGGCCTTTCCTTAACCTGCTCTCCCTTACTTTTTGGTCCTTCTTTCTCCAGTGTTCAGCAGTCTTCTGAGCCCTTGGTTGAGCTTCTTTCTGCATTTTACTGGTGTCTTTATCACAGTCCAGTTTATAAGCAAGGGCAGTATCGCAGGCTGCCTCCTCTCATGGTCCCTACTACTCATAAGGCTGAGCGGAGTCAAAGGCTCTAGCACACTGCTGAATGGCAGTATTGATTTTTGCAGTCTTACAAAGACAATGGCTCTCGGCATACAGAATGGGCCACTAAGGATCTAGCTTTGTGGTAGCTGGGCACAAGTCATTAACTTTCTGGAACTCATGATCTGGGGTTTCAGTGGCAGCAAACTCCTCTTCATCTCTTTAGTTACCTCTGTGGTTTTATTTCTCCTTTTTGAGCTTCAGTGTCTGGCTCCATGACATCCTCATGACCAGTTCCTAAGTTGCTGTCCTTCCCTGCTGGCTCTTCTCTCTGTAAGGATTCCTCTGACTTCTTGCCTTTTCCCCCTTTGGCATTCCCTTCTTAGCTCTACGAGGGGCAGGTGGTATGGCATCCTGCATGTCTTCCACCCTTTCCTCAGGGAAGTGCAGTACCTCAGTGTGCAGGAAACCAGATACCTGCACATGCAGCCCCTCCAAGCTGTCTGTTCACCCTGTGGAGGTCCGTGGCCCAGGTGGCAGTGCAGAGGTGGGGCACTGCAGAGCGGAAGCTGAGGTGGCTGCAGCTCTGAGCTAGGTGCTAGCTCAGTTCGGTGAAGTTCAGGAGGAATGGTTGGTGGCATGATGGGGAAACTGGCTTTCCTGGCTCTTTCCTTTGAAGTCTCTCAATGGCACTAGATGTGGGTGTCTTTAGAGTGTTTCATTTTTCCAGAGAGGAAGTCTCCAGCTTCAAACCTAGGGTAAGAGCACAGTGTATGTACAGTGGGTACACAGGCTAGGGTTCAACCTTCCTTTTGTAGATTTTTATTGTCAGCCCCACACATCATCCCTAGCCTGTGTTTTAGTGTCCCTGAGCCCTGTGCTTGTCCCTTTTTCTCCAAGAATAAACCTCCAGCCTCCAGTGCGGAAGAGATGTTATAAACCTGGCTGCTGGTGTGTGTGTGTGTGTGTGGAGTAGGACTACCTGCAGACTCCCTACCAGTACCCATTTTCAGTTCCTGGCTTCACACCCCATTCTCAGAGTCCCGAAACCTCTGTTGAGAGTTCTGGGAGGCCTGGGCTCTCTGCTAAGAGGTATCCCATTAGGCTTGCATTTTGTGATTTCCTCCACCCTCCTCTGTCAGCTTTCTATCTTCTAAATATGTCTTCAGTTTTCTTGGTTGCTGTGTTTTCCTGCCATTCTGTTCATTGTGTTTTTTTATTTGTTTGTTTGTTTTATTCCTTTATTGGTGTCTGGGAAGGCAGAAGATATAATTATATGCACAATCTGCCATCTTTACCTAGAATTCTCACACTGGTTTATAAGGATTTGTCAACCTTAAATAAATAGCAGAGAGACCAGCTCTCCAGAATAAGGAGTTTATTCAGGAATAGCAATCTGAAATACACATGCTATGGTGAACCACAGGCATATCCAAGGGAGTTGGGGCAAAGGGAAGCTTTTAAAAGAAAAAAAGGGAGAAGTCCACATAAGCTGTTTTGAAACAAACACCATTGGTCACAGAGGCTTTTTGCAAGAGTTGGTGTTAGCTCATTGGTGGAGACAGCCATTACTAGGCAAACGTCCTTGCGCAAGTGGCTTACCTAGAATTTTTTAAATTGTTGTGGTTTTTAAACAGTCCTTGCAATAGTTCTTGTCACAGGTATATGGGCATGAGGGTCCCTCCTCATGACCCGCCAGCTGCATTCTGTTAGGGTTTGACATAAGTGACTCCACGTTGGTACTGACAACTTTCACAGACTTGAACCGACTCCATGTTGGTATTGACAACTTTCACAGACTTGAACTAGTGGACTTGGTAAGAAATGAGAAAAGTGAGACTCAGAATAGTTAAAGTCAGACTTGGGCTTTAAGGTAGTATTTATTTTTCTGGGCTGTGCACACTTTGCACATTAAATCCAGTGCTGACTCCATTGCTGGAATGCTACTTGTGGCGATCATCTTCTCCCAAGCTCCACATTTTAGCTTTGTAGAGAGTGATGTCCTTGTAGACCCTGAAGTGGTTCAGTCTTGAGTCATGGCGTTCTGGGTTGACCTGGAAAGGAGGATGAAGGATCAGAAAGAGGCCCATGGGGAAGCAGGAAGACCTGGGATTGGAATAGATGGACCTGGGCTTAAATCAGGCCCACTATCCTGAGATAACCACATAAGCTTTTCCTTGCTAACCACTGCTGTGAAATGGAGATGACCACATTTACATCAACAGAGTTTTGAGGCTGAAGGAGAATAACCTAGCAAAGTTGCTGCACTCCCTTCCCCACTGCCTACATTGGAGGCCCCACATGTGGACTCTTTCCCCCCACTAGAATGTAAGCTCCATGACGGGAGGTGCTGTATCTGTCTTAGTGTGTCCCCAGCACCTAGAACAGTATCCAGCACACAATAGGTATTCAATATATATTTACTGAGTGAAAGAATGAATTTGTTGGAGTCACACAGAGAACTGAGTAGAAGCAAGCACTCTGACACATAAGTCTTATAGAAGCTACACCGCACAATTAGCTTAAAGGATTTATTTTCAACAAATATTATCAGGAGTCATGAGGCTGACAGGTGCTCATTGAGTGTGGTGTCTCCAGTGTCCCAGTATTGAGGTTGGAGGTACTCTGCCTGTCTAGAGTGAGGTCCTGCCAGGGGCAGCAAGCCCCACATTAGGGCTGATTAAGCCTTTTCTGCTCTTAACCACATCATTCTGAAACTTCAGCTTAATTATGTTTTATGGTTGCACAATACCTGGACCTAATATTTTGGGGGGTATACTTTCTTACTATGCCACCAGCACCATCTGATGGCATTGTCCCCAGGTTTATAATGATGAACAGGCATGGCATATTTGCAGACCTTTTGCAGCTCCAGAATGATAATGGATCTAGGGACACATGGTGTCTGTGATCTGCAAGGCCTAGGAGGGTCCAAGCAGGGCTGGCCTGGCTGGGCCAGCCACACTTGTCTTTCCTGTCATGCGTGGTGTGCCTGCCACGAGATATCCTGGAGGGTCAAAGATGCAAGATTTCCACATGCGCACTTTGCGCCCAGGGATCCAGGCCTTTATTCTTTAAGAAAGTGAAGAATGGTGAGTTAAGTAATTTGTGCTCTGTAATATTTTCCTAAGTTGCTTAATTATCTAACTTGATGATTTCTATCTTCACCCAGTCTGTCTTCCTTCACAACCCTTCTTCTCCCTTGACAAATATTCTGTCCTTGTCGAAACTCTACTCAGCCTGTCCTGAATTCTTACTTTTGGACTTCTGTGTTTATCTCTGCCTTGTCCAATATTAGCAAAAATCCTGCTAAGTCACTTTAACCAGAACCTCCTCCATCTTCAATATCTGACCACTCTTGATATCTGATCAGGTTCCTCAACCTTACCATCTCCCAGAGGATGTCTGATCCCTTGGCCTGCCTTCAGCAAGAATCCTGTTAGGTCGATTTAGCCAGAATTACCCCTTACTCCTGACATTTCCTCTTAGTAATTTTCTATCCATTGCCTCCCACCTTGCTCCTTGGCTATAAATTCCCACTTGTCCATGCTATATTCAGAGTTGAGCCCATTCTCTCCCCCACTGCAAAACCTCATTGTGGTGCCTATGCCTTTAGCAATAGTCCCACCATGCCACCCCCACAACCCACACTTGAATAAAGTCTTCGTTCTGGTCTTTAACAATAATTGAATAATTGATTCATTACAGTAATTGTCATTGAATAATTTTTTCTTTAATACCCTTCTCTTACCTGCTATAAGTTAGACCCTCCTCTCTCCCTTCGAGCAGCCATCTCTTCTTTAGCTGTCTAACCATACCTCCCCCTTTGGACTCAGTCCTTCCTTGAGCAAGTGGTGGGAGCTCCCATTGGAGTCCTCTCCCTGTCTCTCAAAGTCTCTTCTCTCCAAGGCAATGCCCCATGTCTGAAGAGAAGCTGTTACAAATGAGCAGCTTATTTACTCTCCTTCTCACTGGTAGAACCTGGACTTACTGAGCCATTTATTCATATCTCCATGAAGCAGGCCTGTGCAGTTACATGCCCTGTACTGCAGTTGTATAAGGATGAGAAGCCTAGGCTCCTGCAGTAGGAGAACTACAGGGTGTGGGGAGTTCTCGGGAAGGGAGCCCACTAGAAAAGTCCTCAGTGATGGAGGCAACTGGATTAAGCCAAAGACCTGGGAGAAGCACCTGACTGGGTTCTAGATTGGACAGTGTACTCTCCTTTCTATTCTTCCTCATCTACATTTATGGAGCACTTACTATATGCTAGGCACTGTTCCAGGAAGTTTCTATACATCTCATTTAATCCTCACAACAAACCTTTAAGTTTAGAAGCTATTATTATCCCCATTTTAAGATGGATAATGGAGGCTAAGAGAGGTTAAGCATCATACAGCTAGAAAGTGGTGGAGCTGGGACTTGAACTTTGGCTCTAGAGTGTAGAGGATTCTTAAAGCAAATGTACTTCACAGGGCCTGGTTTTCCAAAGCCTTGCAGTTTCAAATATTGCCCTTGCGGAGGACAGGAAATTTTCCTCAGGCTATAAAGTCTCTGTTGTAAGATAAAGATTGTGGCACAGCAAGGTTGCTGGCTCAAAGACAGACTAGTTACTGATTGATATGTAAAGATACTGGGAAATTGCTGTAAGAAGGAATGTTTGCTAAGATCAAGCTTTTGTTGGTGGATCACTTAATTGTCTAATGGAATGTCATCTGACTTGTTTCACTGAAAATTACCAGCCTATATTGTTAAACTATAAACCCACCTATGTTCTCTTCCTATAACTTCCTGGTCTGGAAAATAAATACAGGAAGAGAACCCGAATTTGGGGTTAATTTCCCAAGGAAGGGATGCCTCTCACTTGAGGGTTCTGGGGAAGTTAACCACTTTGGGGCTTCTCACTGCTAAGAAGAAATGCGCTTTGAGTAATCCTTTGCAGCTCTGTCACCCAGGGGAAGTGGGGTGACAAATTGGTGGGAGAAAAAGCAACACCAGAGCTACCCTTTTACATTGATACACTGATGACGAGTTAAATGCCATAACAGCAGGAGGCACACAGTGCTAAAGAAGCAGAAGGGAGAAGTGCCCAACTCTGCATGGTGGGGAGTGGAGTGGCAGAAGTCCTTTATGGAAGAATTAACTCCTGAGCTGGTTCTTGAAGGGTGAGTAGGACTTTCCTAGTGAATGTGGGCTAGGGGTCAGGGGTGAGCAGAGGAACAGGAAATATAAAGACACAGGTGTGCAAGGTCTTGGTGCCTTGGAGGTAATGAAGTTCAGATACAGCTGAGGAACAGTGTCTCCAACTTCACACCATACACAAAATATACCAAATGGGTTAAAAACTAAATGTTAAAAAAAAAAAGAAGAAGAAAGAAGAGAGGAGGAGGAGGGGGAAAAGGAGGAAGAGGAAAATAACCTAAGGAGAAAAGACAGAATAGTTGTTTTGTAACTGTTGGTGTTGAAGGTTTTCCCAAGCAAGGCACAAAACCCAGAAACCATAATGAAAATGATTGGTATATTTAATGACTTAAAAATTAAAACCTCCTGGGGCTGGCCCATGGCTCACTCGGGAGAGCATGGTGCTGACAACACCAAGTCAAGGATTAAGATCCCCTTACCAGTCATCTTTAAAAAAAAAAAAAATTAAAACCTTCTGTGTGATGAAAGACATAAGGAAAGTTAAAGAACAAATGTGGTAGAAACTTCTTCAAGCCATCTGTGTTTCTTTCTTCCTTAGCAACAGAAGCCCTATATTAATTGGGGTGATAATGTGCTAAAGACTACATTTCCCAGGCTCCCTTGCAGCTAGTTGTGCCCATCTGATGAAATAAGGAGAGTACTTGTATTTTTGCTAACATTCCCTTTTTATGGATAAAGGAACAAAAGTCAGAGATGTTAAGTGACACACCCACCACCATCTTACCAATATCTGGTAGGGCAAACACAAGCAGTGTCATCAGCAACCTTTATTAAATCAACATACAGTATTTGCTATGTCCCAGACACTGTTCTAAGCATGGTATAAATACTACCTCATTTAATCCTCATAACATTCTTATGAGATAGGTACTGTTATAACTCCACTACTGAGTCATAAAAGAGCCAAGCAACTTACCCCAGGTCATACAGATGGCAAGTGGTAGCCAGAATTCAAACCCAGGCAAGTCTGGCTCCCTACTCTGTTCTCTTAGCCACCACCCACACTGCTGTTGTGCTTCCTGGCATTCAATAAGTAAAGGAGCCATGCTTACCAAGGGCTCTGAGTCCCATCCTATTTCTTGGCTTTCAGTCTGTGTCTCTGGGTATTTCTTCCTTGGTCCCTGGGCAGCATGGTGAATAAGATTCAGAAACCTGGCTGGGAGACAAAGGCAAGAGTTATGAAGGAGTCAGGCTTTGGGACCAATAAGTCTTCCTGTGCCCTCTACTCTGGCTACATTGTACCTTGGAAGCAGAGCATCCCAGCCTCAGAGGTTTGTCTAGGCCTCAAGACAGGGGTGTCCGGTCCCTCCATTCATCTTTTAACAAATGTGTGTTGAGTGCAAACTCTGCACCAGATTTCTGGGGCCTGAGGGTAGAACACTGAGCAAAACAGACATGGTCCCTGGTCCCATATCACTCAGAATGTCCTACAGTCTTCTCCACCTGATATGCTCCACCTCACCCTGTCATCACCTCCTCCAGGAGGACTTCCAAGAACTCTGCTGCCTGACTTAGGCAATTTTTTCTGTGCTGTTGCCACACCAATCATATTCCCTATTTACTTGCCTACTTACTTGTCTTTTCCTTTGTTATGTTACGAGATCCCCCCACCCAGCCCCATCATAGTGACTATCACATGGTAATAATAAAAGTATTAAAAATAACTAACATTTACTGAATACCATGTACCAGATACTGTTCTAAGCACTTGCATTATTTTGTTTAATCCTCACAGCAGCCCTAAGAAATAGTCTCAGGGAGGTTAAAAAACCTGCCTAAAGTCACACAGTTAATGAGTGGCAGAAGCAGGATTGAACGCAGTATGTCTCTACAACCTGTGCTTGTAACATCTAAATGTTTGATGAATGAATGAATGCAATGTTAAGGCCATTAGGAACATTTCTCTTGGCTTGACAGTTAATAAATTTGCATTATGGTTGAATATGTCAGTCTCTTATGAGCTTGGTTGGTTTGAGTCCAGTTTCCAGGATCAAAGCAGAGGATTCTGATGGTTGCCCCAAGAGAGATCCTGAGAGATCTCTCCAACCAGTCTGCCTCTCTGTGCTCTATCTCAGTAGTATTCTCAACCCCCAGGACTTACCATCTGCAGGTTCCTCCAGGTTATCATGCCAAGACATGGGCTTTCTGGTAATTGTGTGAACTAGAGAAAGACAGCAGCACAGGTTCACATTAAAATACTAACTCCCTTCCCTCTCTAAGACCCACCTTGGGCCAGACACCCACTTAGCACTTAACTCAGTATCTGGCACATGCCAGGTATTGGGCTGGATGCTAGGGAACAAAGTTGAATAAGGCCCTCAAGAGCCTCACAATCTAGAGTGGCACTGTCTGGTATGGTGGCCACCAACAACATGCGGCTACTTGAATTTAAATAACTAAAATTAAATACACTTAAAAATTCACTTCCGGGTCGGCCCGGTGGTGCACTGGAGAGTGCGCTGCTTGGGAGCGTGGTGGCCCTCCCACCGAGGGTTCGGATCCCATGTGGAGACCAGTTCCCGCTCACTGGCTGAGCGTGGTGCGGGCGCAACACTGAGGGTTGCGATCCCGTTACCGGTCAGTAAAAAAGACAAAAAGGAAAAAAAAAATTCACTTCTCCCATCATACCGGTCACATTTCAAGTCCTCGACAGCCACATGTAACTGATGGCTATCTTTTTGACTACAACACATATATAAATATTTTCATCATCAAAGAATGTTCTCTTGGAGAGTGCTGGTCTATAGGGAAGGCAAACATGCCAGGCAGCCAAATGAGGTTAGCCAGATAGTGATCCATACCCAGGAGGGCATGAGATGACAGAGGAGCAGAATTCACATTCTATTCATTCAGCTTGTAATTACTGGTGCACTGGAGATACGGCTGTAAACAAGATAGAGAAGCTTCCTGTACTCCCTGAGTTATCACTGTATTTGTGGTGACAGACAATAAACAAATACATAATATCAGACAAATATAAGTGTAATGGAGAACAATAAGGTAGGATAAGTGGTTAGAGAGCTGATGGTGGGCAGGGTGTGAGTGATGAATTTCTAGGGATACATTTGAGCAGAGTTCTGAATGACGTAGGGGAATGCGCTGTGTATAGACGGGAAGAATGTGAGCATGAGCTTGGTGAGTCTGAGAAACTTCAAGAAGGCCAGAGTAGCTCAAGTGGAGTGAGCTAGGTGAAGCACGGTAGGCAATGAGCAGAGGTCAGTAGAAACCCGTGGTCTCCAAACCCCTACCGGTAAAAAAGCCTTTTGAGAATATACCCCTATTATAGGTGTATTTATACAGTTTCTATGTACTATTGTCACGATATTAGCAAAACATAATTTCTTTCTTTGTAGCTAAAACTAAACATAAACACAAGTTTGATGGAGTTTGGATGTGTTGTACTCCCAGAACTCATGTGGAAATCTGATCCCCAATGTGGAGTTTGAGGCACTGGGTGGATCCCTCATGAATGGATTAATGCTCTCCCTGGGGGAGGTGGGATAGTGAGTGAGATCTTGCTCTATTAGTTCCCACCAGAGCTGGTTGTTTAGAAGACCCTGGCACCTCCTCTCTTTCTCTCTCTTGCTTCCTCTTGCCATGTGATCTGCTTGTACCCGCCGCTGCCTGCTCTTTTCCTCCATGAGCAGAAGCAGCCAGAGGCCCACACCAGATGCAGCTGTCCCTGAATCATGAGCCAAATAAACCTCTGTTCTTTATAAATTAGCCAGTCTCAGGTGTTCTGTTATAGCAACAGAAAACGGACTAATATAAAGTTCTAATATATTCTGACTGTACCCCAATGGATCATATTAATCACTTGCTCAAGGGATGTGAGCTGGAAGATAATACTTTTTCTAGAAAGCCTCAATGTTGCCTGAAGGGATTATTTAAATTGTTGGAATGAACCAAGTTTAAACAGAATTGGACATTAATTTGTTTTCCTGAAATTAGTGGCCAGCAGCTCCAGAAGAAAACCAGGTTAGATATAAGCAAAATGAAGACATTACTTTTTCTTTATACAGCCAGGCTACAGTGGAGCATAGTTAATTGGACACAGAAGTTGGGGGAGAAGTTCAGGAAGAAGGAACGATGTCTATGTAGGTAAAGTGGTGGGAAGTGGCATGATGTATTAGGAAATCCATTTATTTAGAAATGGCGGGAGAGAAAGGAGTGTGTGTGGGAGCCTTTAGCAGTGGTTGGTGCAGAGTAAGCACTACAACACTTACTAAAGGGACACAAGTGAGGTGGCAGAGGGGAGTATGGGATGAAGCTGAGTAGGAACCAGAGCCAGATCCAAAGGGGCCTTATATGCTGATTGATTTAAACTTTAGCCCAGAAGTTGTGGGGGCCACTGAAGGATTTTACGAAGGGACTGACATGATCAAATTGATCTTTTAGCATAGCTGTAGATAGCAGGGAGGTAGGGATGGGTCGTAGGGGCCAGATGGGAGGGAAAGAGAGTAGTTGGGAGCTCATCGGACCAATCTGAGTGGGAGTGACTGGGGCTCTGTGGAGGCGGGAGTGAGGATGGAGAGAGAGGCAGATTCAGGAACTGTCTAGAGGGTGGAATTAAGTGAGTAGAGGTGTAGATGCCCCACATCCATGATGGAGTCTTTCACTGTGGCAGAAACATGAGAAGGGTCAGGAGAGAAACGCTGTGGAATAAATAAGACTTGCGACTACTTAAGCGTGTACAGTGAATGGTTGTGGTGCCTTGTGTAGGAGCAGAGGGTGGGGAGGAGGTTCCAGGATGAGCCCAGTTTTCCAGCTGGTGAGTTTGAGGTTCCTATGGGTTGTCCAGGGAAGGCAGCTGAGAGGTGGTTGGGCAGGTGGGTCTGGAGCTCTATTTGAGGCCCAGTGGCATTTGGGGGCAGCTGATGTTACAGGATCAGATGAAACCACCCAAGCAGTATGCACAGTGAGAACAGTGGAGGATAGGACCGTTTTATCAGGGGAGCCCTACGGGCCTGGAGTCTACTACTCTGGAACCTTCCAAAGGTCTAAGACAATACTAAAAGCCTGAAAAAAAATCCTTTAGCCTATTAAAAACAAACCAAAACACAAACAGAAACAAAACACAAAACCCTGCAAAATATATTTCAAAAGCAAAATTGTGAAAAGCTGTTCCCTGTTCCTCCTTTTTTTTTTTTTTTTTTTTAGGACGAAAATATTTAAACGCGATGAGGATGCATTCACATCCTAATACATCTGATGCCACGTGGGGCGAGGCCCCTTCAAAAGTCATCGTCCCTGAAGTCTCCGAGAGGGGGCGGGGTGTCGGAGGAGGAGTCCCCTTCACCCCGCCCCGCGCCCCGCACCCCCAGGACTCCGCCCCGGGCCCTCACCTTTGCGCAGCGGGTTCACGTGGTACTGCGTGTAGAGCTTCTGGGTTCGTAGCTCTCTGAGGTACAGTTCCCGCAAGATCTGGTTCTGATGGACCTCATCTGGGATCACCTTCTCCCTCTGGCGTCCCGCCATGGCCTTGGTCCTGCTCGGTCCGGTCCAGCTCCCTCTCCGCACTCTCCCCCAGGTTGCCTGGTCCCGCGCCTACTGCCGTTTCTAAGCAACGGCGTCCCAAGCTGTCTCCAGGCAACGGCGTCCCTGTCTTACTACTCCTCCTGGGTCAGCGCTCTCTCGGGCCCGCCCATTCCCGTGGTTCGATCCGTTCTCCCTGCTCCCACCCCTCAAGGGCCCCCTTCCAGCGTTCGACTCACCTGCCCTAGCTTCTCAGGACCCAGCCGGGTTACTAGAGCTGTCCCTGGATACCATCAAGTGGCAGAGCCAGGAGGTAATGAACTTATGACTGAACATCGCCTTGCCCAATCATTTCCTTAAAAAGATTTTGAAAAGTGTCAGAAACTTCTCCCGCTTTCAAGCAGGTGCCAGAATCCAAACCCTCTGTGTCTGTTTTACAAAAAAACGGAAGTTTCATATCTGAGAAAACATTCTGGCCAATGAGATGATATAGGCAGAACAACTCTTTCCTAATCAAAGTAACTCGATGACTTCGTATTTATTTAATTTTAATTTTTAATGGTGGTAAAATACACATAGTATAAAACTTACCATTTTAGCCATTTTTAAGTAGCAGTTCAGTAGGGTTAAGTATATTCACACTGTGCGAAACCAGTCTCCAAAACCTTTTCACGCTCATTAAACGACCTTCCATTTCTCCCTCCCTCCCATCCCCTGGCAACCACCGTTTTACCTTCTGTTTCTATGAATTTGACTCCTATTTATAATATAGTTTATTTTGAGAGGACTTAAAGTAGACCCAGCATAGAGAAAGAGGCCACCCCTGGTTTTAGTAAGTACCTAACACTGTCTCTACAACTTGTGCTCTTCTCCACTATGTACTTAATTCATTCGTTTATGGGACACTGTGTTCCAGGATGTGTTTAGGGTTGGGAGACACAGTGTTGAACATGTTAGCTGTGTGGACATTACTGCGGTTTCCTGAGTCCAGCAAGCTATTTCATAATTCCTTGTTTTAGCTCCTGCAGCTCCTGCTCCTTGGCCTGGAAGGCTCTTTCCCCCGTGTCTGTCTGGAGAACACCTATCCTTTGTTTACAATGAGCTCACATGTAATCTTTCAAAAAACTTTCTAGACTCTGTATCCCCCTGCCCTATTTTTCTTTGTGCCATGCTCTACCCCGAATCTATAGTTACTTTAATAGTAAATTTAATACTACATTTATTTGTTCATATCTAAGTTACTTGTGAACAAGAAATATATCTGATCCACTTCTGCATTCGCGGTACCCGGCACAGGATGGGCAGATGAGTGTTTGGTAAATGTTTGCTGGTTGACCGGATGTCTGACCAGTTGGCACTGTGATTTTTTTCTGCTTAAATTGGAACATAAACCCTTACATCATTCCTAAACACAAGCAGATTTCATCATATGCTGGCTGAGCTAGATAACTACCTTTATTACTTGTCATTGTAAGCCATGTGATGGAGTTTGGATGTATTGTTCCCACCGAAACTCACGTGGAAATCTGGTCCTCAATGTGGCAGTGCTGGAAGCTGTTTGAGCCATAGGGGCGGATCCCTCATGAATGGATTCATGCTCTCCCTGGGGGAGGGGGGATTAATGAGTGAGTTCTTGCTCTATTAGTTACTGCGAGAGCTGGTTGTTTAAAGAGACTCCAGCAACTCCTCTCTCTTTTGCTTGCTCTCTTGCTTCCTCTCGCCATGTGATCTGCTCGTACCCACTGGCTACCTGACACTTTCTGCCATGAGTAGAAGCAGCCTGAGGCCCGTGCCAGATGCAGCTGTCCCAGAATCGTAAGCCAAATAAACCTCTTTTCCTTATAAATTACCCAGTCTCAGGTAATTCTGTTATAGCAACACAAAATAGACTAATACACCATGTCTGGGTCCCTTTTCCTAGCAAGCCTCAAATAGCCTTCTGAAGTCTTCACTATCTTCCTAAGGCTGAGAAGAAAATGAACCATCACTCTGCTAAGAAGCCACATTGTTAACTTGGGACAATTAGCAAGATCATATTCTAATTTTTGTAATAAGTCCTGACATCTGGTAGGGAAGAGTTTCTTAAGAGTCTTGGCTATTCTTGGTTCTTTGCATTTCCATATAAATTATGATGAGTTTGTCAAGTTCCCAAAAAGTACCTGCTGGGATTTTGATTGATGTTGTATTGGATCTATATATTAGTTTGAGGAGAGCACTTTTTAAAAAAACTATTATCTGTTCATCTGATGGCATCATCTGGGTAGGATCTGGACAAGTGCCTGCCTTCCAGGCTTTGCTACATTTCACATTCTGGGGGAGAAGCAGCTGACTGAGAGAGACTCAACCTTCAGAACTTTGATGAGAACACAGTGGAGACGCCTCCCACTTCTGCAGGAGACATTTCTCAAGGGCAGAAAGTCCCTGGCAAGATTCTGGAATTCTAGGATGAAGACAAATGGAGTCTGGGTGAAGCTAGACCAAAACCCCCCAAAACCCTCAAAACCAAGCTTGAGTCCCCATCTGCCTATAGCAGTGGCCTTGTGTCCTTTGTGTGAGTTCTCTGGGGTCATCCTTTCCTGCACTCACTTTAATCTGGGGCAGATCAACAGGACTTACACTCCTAGAGGACAGATTAGATGCTTCCCACTCCTGGCTCTCTTGTTTTTCTGTCACTGGTATTGCAGTTGGTCCTGTCGTTACACAAGTTCCATGGAGAAGCCAGTTCCCAATGTAGAGGCTCACACAGTCTGGCTAATCAGGTAGGAGAGGAAAGAACAGACTGTCCACAAAAAGAAAATTGTTTAAGGGGTCTCTGGCATCTGAAGAGGACTAACAAGATGGGGCTGAAGGCAAACTATGGATAGTAGTAAGATAACTAGGATCTGGTCATGAAAAAGGGGTCCTGTAACTAACCGTGGTGACAATCCAGGCTGAACGCTGTCCACCAGGTCAGGCTGCTGGGAATTCATAGTCCTGGCAATTGTGAGCTGCACTGGAACTATCTCAGAAGGAGGGAAACCATCTCTCCAGGATGAGATTTGTGAATCACCAGGTCTGGTTGGGGGTGGCTGGAGAGTTGGTGCAGAGAAGGGGGCTAGAAAGAAGGGCTAGGAGGAGGGGTAGGGGCAAAGACGGAGGAGTAACAGGAAAGAGGAGCAAGGCAGACAGGGAGGTAAATGGGTGGCCTGGAAGGAAAAGAGGAAGAGCTGGGCAGGGAGATCCTTAAGGTAGGGTAGTGGGAGGAGATGTTGTTAGTCAGGGGAGGGAAACTGGTAGCACGGAAAACCGACAGAGATTCAAGGTGCTGGAGAGTAGGCTGAGGTCTGACAGAGTGAGGAAACAGGGAAGGAAGGCAGGTGGGATGGCGGGAGTGGGAAGGAGCAGAAAGACATGGAGGCTGGGGTTGACAGGGGCAATCCGAGCTAGTTTTCTTGTCATGTTTTCAAATGGTAGCTCTAGTTACTCATCTTGTCCGAGCGAGTCAAAGTGAGTAACTGAGCACGTGCCCAGAACTACTGCAGCAGTTATCTCACGCATCACCCCACATCACCCCACGACTGAATGCCCAGCGTGGAGCGTACTGACCCTCCCTTCTGTCCAGCGAGGAGGCCCCCAGTTCCCCAACCAAGGAAATGGTCCAGGTTTAAGAGTGATCGAGTGATCATGGGAAGCAGCAAAGAGAAGAACTGACCCTCCCTTCTGTCCAGCGAGGAGGCCCCCAGTTCCCCAACCAAGGAAATGGTCCAGCCTCTAGGTTTAAGAGTGATTGAGTGATCATGGGAAGTAGCAAAGAGAATGGGGTCGTGATATTTCTCCCCTGTTCTTGGGATGACATGTAGTTTTGCACCTCAGTAGGCAAAGATCGATTAAAGCGCTAGCATGGAGTTAGGGGGTTGCAGCCTAGGAGAGCAGTTCTGAAGCAGGAATTGGGAAAATGGGAAGAAGCCAGTGCCCCAGTCTATTTAATTTACTACATTTTCCAAAGCCCCGTCACATTATTTGTATCACTGCATGAATGTGAGGTAATCAGAGAAGAGGTGCTTTGTCCATGTTACTAATGAAGAGCACACTGAAGCTCAGAGGGCGTCATAGGCAGGCAGTAGGTGACAAAGCAGGTGGGACTAGAACTTGGGCCAAAAGGAGGGGACCTGTAGGAGGGAGCACAAAATGGCACAAAGCACTGACAAGCAGCGTGACCCTCTCTCATGTAGGGGTGCATCAGAGAAGACCCTTACTTTTTGTAGATGACCTCTTGGTCCCTATGGTCCCTCGGTTTGTGGCCTGACTCTTCACTAGAACCAGAGACATGGTCAAAGCTGGTAGGGTGACTGCCCACTCCTGAGAGCCTGATAACCAGATCTGACCTTTCCCGCTCACTGCCTGAGATGCCCAACACCGTGTCAGATGGAGGTGGCTACTGCACCCACTGCTGTTCTTTTGTCTGATGCAGCAACTCTCTCTACTTAACACATCTGCTTTCTTTGATCACCATCCAAGTCATATGCCACTTTGGTCCCCTATTCTCAACTCTACCCTTATCACCATAATATTCTGATTTTTCTCCCTTGACCCAACAACATGTTCCTCCCATAATTTACAGAACTTTCATTGTGCTCTCTGGAGCTCTAGCTACATGATTAGCTGTTTCCTTGTCTTCTTCTTCATTGACGGTTCCTTGCATCTCCTGGCTTTAACTGTAACCTGGACTTCCCTTGAGGACATTGCTTTTCTTGTATCTCAAGCAGACACTACTCATTGTCTCCAACTCTGAAGTATCTCAGGGTGGGGATGTGTTGTACAGATGTTCCTTGCTCCTTCTAATTCCTTTCAAACCATTATTCCTCTCTTCTTATTAGAAAATCTCTTGCTCCTTAGAAGTATATGCTACCCACTTCATTCCCTTGGCACCTCCAGATCTCCTGTCTACTTTTTTTCTATGAAACTTTGACAGTTGTCTCAAAGTCTTATTCTTGAGTCTATCACCCTGAGTGACTTCAATGTCCATTTAGATGACCTGATTCAATGCTCTGGCCTCTCCTTTTCCTGACTTCTTTATCACTAAAGTCCACCACCTATATTCCACTTTGG